GAAATTGGAATTGAAACATGGAATAGTAAAATAGACATAAAAATTAAATATAATATTAGGGTGGGCACAAATTTACAAACATCACCGAACCGTGAATCAATCTGATTCACCACAATCAATGTCCATAATAGCAAGTTTTAAGTATGCGCGTCGTTTCTCTCCTCGTTGCACCTCGCCATAAAGGCCAATGTCCACTCGCTTTACCTTCACTCGGCACCATACTCGCCATGGAACGTTAGAATCGCATATGAACACCAAGCCCCCTTCGGCTTCGTTCGTTGGTACCATTTTACTCAGCGAGTCAATGTAGGAAGATACTCGGTAATCCACCTGTTCCTAAAGTGGTACTAGGCTGCAGAAGTGGCGATTGGCATTCTCTACTTCTTTAGCAATTAAACCATAGCATTGGTCTTGCTGTCCGCGGAAGCGACAATTGTTGATAAAGCGTAAAAGCCAGGCAACGGCTCTTACCAATCTTTTAAACCAAGAAAATTTATTATAATCCAAAAAATTACAACACTTCCAACGACTATAACCTGTTCAGAGGGCCAAACTTGCTCATCCTGCTATAGCAATTGGTGGACCACGTAACCAACGCGCCGCTGGACTAAAATTGATCATTTATACGCAAAGTTTCGTCGGCTACACAGAGCTTGGAATTGGAAATGCTTGTATTGGCCAATATCTCTGTTATTCTATGCTGTCCGAAAAGCTTATAACGACGTTTCTCACTCTGAATATATTTGATTACCGTTTTTGAGTCACTCCAGAATGCAGTTATTGATGTCGAGAGAGTGTTCGTCGCGGATGCACTGCATTAAACGAGTGACCCAAGCAGCTGCCTGAAGTTCAAGTCGTGGCCCAGTAAAACGTGAGACAAAATCTCCCATGTATACCTGCATTTTTTCGATTTTTATTTTATTAGTTCTAATCGATAAATAAAAAATACCACTTTGACAACTTTTCGAAAATTATTGTTATTAATACTTGTATAATGTATTTTTTAGACGATCTTGATTTTGTCTCAGTTCTCATTGGGACAAATTTCGGTTGTTCGGTGTTTAATGTGAGAAAAAAATTAAATATATTTATCCACAAACAAAAGAAATATACGTTCACGCTATTAATTCAATTTTAATTTTTTTTATCTTATATACTTGAATTTATACTCTTGTAACATGTTGCTACAGAGTATAATAGTTTTGTTCAACTAATGGTTGTTTGTAGCACCTAAAACTAATCAAGTTAGATATAGGGTTATATATATAAATATATATATAAATGATCAGGATGAAGAGACGAGTTGAAATCCGGGTGACTGTCTGTCCGTCCGTCCGTCCGACCGTCCGTGTGTGAAACCTGTAACTTGAGTAAAAAATTAGATATATTTATGAAACTTCGTACACATGTTTTTTGGTACCGTAAGATGGTTGGTATTGCAGATGGGCGTAATCGGACCACTGCCACGCCCACAAAACTCCATTAATCAAAAACAAATGAATTGCCATAACTAAGCTCCACAATTAGATGCAAAAATAATTTTTTTAAGTGGGCGTGGTCCCGCACCCTAACAGATTTAATGTGCATATCTCCTAAGCCGCTAAAGCTATAATAACAAAATTCACTGAGAGCAAATGCTTTTAGCACCTCAATCGACAGTGTGAAATCGGGTGACAACTCCGCCTACTCCCCATATAACGGTACTGTGAAAAACAATTAAAAGCGCGATAAATCAAGCACTAAATACGCCAGAGACATTAAACTTTACCTCTGTAATGGTATGAGATGACTTTATAGGAACCGACTTCAAAATTAAACAGTGGGAATGGCACCGCCCACTTTTAGGTGAAAACCCATATCTTGGGATCTGCTCAACTGATTTCAACCAAATTCTGCACATATCATTCTTCTCATATTTCTATGTGTGTATAGTGCGAAAATGGTAAAACTTTGCGTGAACAATGCGTTTATAGTATGCCATATCGTGACCAAAAATTGTCTAAATCGCATCAAAACTATTCAAGCCCTTAGGTACTGAATATGTGAACCCCAAATGGACCAAAACGGTAACCGTGATTGGAATGGAAACATACAGCGGTAAAATAAACATAGAAATTAAATATAATATTAGCGTGGACACAAATTTACAATAATCTTTTTCTTCTGGATTTTTTCACTCTATTTGGATAATACAAGTATAATTTTTTGGATATGATATCTTTAGTTTTTTTTTTTAAAGCAAAATGCCGTTTTAGGTAGACTGGTCGTATAATTCCTTTTTGTTTTTTTTGTTTTTTGGGAATAACCAGCAACTAATAGTCGTTTACTAATTTATATAAAATGTCACCCTTCATAAAATAGGCATCATAATTTTCCCTTTCTTGCAGAATCTCTTATATTAGTCGCAGCTCATCGGCTTGCGCTTGCGCATATTTGATTTTTTGAGTGACGTCATCTATAGTAATTGTTAAAATCGGAAATCTGCTTAAAACATCTACGTGCTTCATACTTGAAAAAGAACGGTGTTCGACAGTATAGTCGCACTCCTGTAACAGCATTATCCATCTGGCCACTCTTGTTCATAATTCTTTCTTATCAAGTGTTTTGGCAAACGCATTGCAGTCGGTTATAATGGTAAAATGCAGACCCAATAAATAAATTTTAAACTTTTTAAGAGCCTATTGTATATTACAGCGGGACTTCGAGTTCATAGCTACTAAATTTTCGCTCAGCTTTCATCGTATTTTTTTTGCATATAATATACGGGGTGCTATTGGCCATCATCAGAGGATTTCTGCAATAAAACAGTGCCGTAACCATTTATGGACGCGTCGGTGTGTACTTGTGTTTCATATGTCCCATTATGAACGCTTAAAACTGCTTTTTGAGTAAAGAAAGTTTGAAGTGTTGAATTATTTTTTTATTTGTCCCCCATATTAAATATCATATTTTGCTTTTCGAATCATTCAGTAACTTTGCAATCAATGTAAAGTTCCGTATGAACTCTCTAAAGTATCTGGCTAGGCCGAAGAAACTATCTAATTGTTTCAAGGCCTACAAAATTCTACTCGTTTTTGTAATTTCTTTTTGTTAATTTGAATTCCATAATCTTGGCACAAGTTTAGAATCTTTTCTAAAATAATTAGCTATTCTTTTTTGTCGTTTGCAGAGATTAAAGCGTCGTCGCAATTGCTTCTTTTGTCAAATCGCGAAGTATAGCATTTACATACACCTTCTAAAAACGCCAGGAGAGTTGGGCAATCCAAAGGAAATCTTGCGTAATTGATATTGACTGATATGTGTTACGAATGAGGTATACTTACGGCTTGCATCACAGACGTCTACATGGAAGAACTCGTTTGTTAAATCAATCGTACTAAATACTGGTAAATATGCTTATCAACGAACTGCCTTGCAATACAGCGTAGGCACTTGTTTGAAGCTTCGCGGAAAAATGTTAAAACTCCCGTTACACATTGCTTCTGTCACATATGTATATTTTGAATATACGCAACACAATTTTAAGTTTCATCAATTGGTATTCAGTTTTTGTGAGCAATGGGACCAAAATGAGAACTGGTGAAAAAGTTGCCTGTTTAAGGAAAAACAACAAGTGAAATTATTAAAATTCTCCACAGCCTTGATGTTAACCGCAGATTCGTGAAACGTACTGTAGCTCGATTGCAAAAAGTGGTAGTGTTAAAATATCAAAAAAACCTGATCGCAGTTTCACGGTCAAAACTCCAAGTCTGATGAAGACTATACGAACAAGGAAAAATTGTACAATTTCTGGAAGGCAAATGGCTAAGGATCTCAACGATAGACGAAAAACCATCAGAAACATTATTAATAAAAATTTGGGATTGAAGGCGACAAAAGCTAGTGACAAGAGAAATAATATTTGCTACTGCGGCGGCACGCAAATTGCGAGATTGTGTTTTCTGATGTAAAACTTTTTGTGTTACAGGTAAGCCACAACTCCCAAAAGGACCGCGTTTATGCAACCAGTATGTGTGAGACTCGAGCTGATAAAAGAGCTTTTGAAGGTATCAAAACACAACGTCTGTTATGGTTTGGAACCTATCAGCAAAAGAAAAACTCTCTCTTCTTTTCATTGACAAAGGCGTAAAAATTAACGCAAAATATTATTTGGAGGAAGTGCTTCTGGACACTTCTCTGCTTATGTACTTGTATTATATTTAGTCTGTTTGACAATAATACATACTGTTTTCAACAAGAATCTGCCCCGGTTCATAAAGAAATGTTCAGCAGTGGTGCAAATGACCCCCTTCTTCCCCGAATTTGAATCCTTTGGATTTTTGTGAATGGAGATATATGATGGGGAAATTAATAAATGTAAAAACTTAAAACTATACCATTTTAGGGAAGGTTTGAATAAAAACAGACATATTGCAATTCTATAGTTTAACTACTAAATAAAACAAGTTTTCATCCTTACTTTAATACATATATGTATGTACATTTGTTATTTTTTGTGGCAAATTTGGTGCGAACAGTTTTTAGGACCCTGTAAGTGGAAGTAGTCTAGGTGCAGATACAATTTGCGTATCGTCTTTTAACACATTGTAATATTTACATTCGTAGTTTTAGTATTGTTAGGTATGTACAGGGTTTCCAATAAGAGTTACAATATATGATTTTTTTTTCAAAAAAACAAAAACCAATCTAATTGTGAAACAAATTCAAATGTCTTTTATTTAAGGTAAAGTACAATTGATATAATTAACATAAGTTTTAAATATAACATCATTCAAATGCCCTCCACGACTTCTTATGCAGAAACGAATTCGATGAACTCAATTTTTGGTTATCATCTATCTATATCGCTCTCTACTGACAGTAACGGTGTCACCAGCTTTATTTCGAAGGAAGTACGGACCGATGATTCCACCAGACCAGATTATGACATATTAAAAATGGGCGAAATGGCACTTAGAATAATAATAATTTTAACGACTATACTGTTTGATAGCACGACGCGACAATTTAAATTGAAAATGTTATAGTCTACAAACAAACAAAGCAAACCACATCTTATCTGTCATTCCTAGTTCCTTCGTCATTATAACTTTACATGTTTTTAAAATTTGTAAATTACGGAACTCGAAACATTTTACACCTTTTTCTCTGGCTTTGTAAGCAACTTACACCTCAATTATAACATCGAATATCCATTTTCACTTTACTATTATTCACTGTTTTTCTGAATCTACTTATTCCTTGTTCTACTGTTTTTATCTCTGTTTATATCACTATTTATTTTCTTGTTCTTGACTATTAAGTTTTCTTCATATTTTAATTTTACTCACACCATTTCGTATACCTTTAGTTTTTGTTTAAATTCCGTTATATTATTAGCGCCATACAAAATGCTTTTGTTTATATAATATATTTAAATCCCTTATACCATCGATCATAACTGAATGAAAGCACTAATCTCGACATTTCCCCGTGAAGCGATTTCGATCATTTAAAAAAATATTCTTGTACTCTTTCGTTTTTCTTTATTTTCCTTTCAGTTAATTGTTTATGCATTGTAGCGCTGTACGTTGCTGTTTGCTGGTTCTCAACAATGTATTTAAACTTTTCTTAGGAAACAATTCCCTTTCATTGGACAGAAATAATTTCGCTTCATAATAGCTACTGCCTCCTCGAATTCGTTGATCTAAACTTACACTGGTAAATTGTCTGTACCGTCGTTGTTTCCCCTACATCGCGAAAATTCATTGCAAACCTGGACCACTGTGATAGTTGCGCTCTTCTGTTTTTCGGTATTATTGCGCCCTCGTTTTCTGATGCATAATCGCCGCTTAAAAATTATACAAAAGAATCGTCGTTTTCTCATTCCTGTCTGCTCGTTGATTTTTTATTTAGATCATGTTGATGTCCATTGCGCTTCTACGCCAATTCGCCGCATTTTCTTTTTCTGTAGTCACTTGTGTTGCCTTCGGTTTCGGAACTATCGTCATTTTCATTGTCGTCATTATCGCCTTCTTCTTTATTGTTTGCACTAAGCAAACTCCCCTTTTTTGGAGGATATGCAACTGTATATTTTCCTGTTTGCAGGTCAGTTGGAGCAAGTTGCAAATAGAACTTATTTTCCCGTCGTCGTGATCGTCGTAGTTAAAACCTTTAAATTTGCGTAGCCGCTGTCTATTTCATCTATTACCTTCGTATTCGAAAATAAATCTGTGCATTGCGGTAATGGTCTCTTTTCGCATTCTTCTTATATTTTCACGCACTTTAGAAAAGCTTTGCAGATTCGCCATTTTAAGACATCCATTGTGAAATTCCCTGACTCTAGGGTTGAACCCCCACATTTGTGAATTTAGTTAAGTTTATTACTAGTTATAATTATAGTTTAACACTTTTAGCTTATTTATTAATTTATAGGTAATTTTAATTGTTCGAATTTAATTTCAATAACTTCTTTGAGCGACTTGGTCGCTCCGCTGTCACAACTATCTTTCTTTTTGTTCGCCTTCTGAGCTGCCACAGTAGTAAAATTTTTATTTCCGACTTTAAGAATGCGATATTTGAAGTGTATAATATACAGTATGACATGCACAATACCCTGCAAGCCATTGCTACCGAAACTTTAACACATTGAAAGAATTATCGCTGAAACTAACACATGCACATGAAACTCATAAGGCTTTTGCGTTAGAAAGAATAATCAACTGGGCATTAACAAACTCTTAGAAACTTTAACAGAAAGAAACCCGTGATTAACCCGAGAGATGCAGTATAATTATTAAGTCTGGGAGACTTATTTGTTAATTTATGTATACACCTAAGAAGTAGTACAAAACACACGTATTAAAAATACGTTTAGCACCAGTAGTATGGAGCACCTGTTGACTAAAAGTTATGAAAAAAGGATTTGGCACCGCCCTATAATAGCTTTAATGTATATATCTCCTTAACCACTAAAGTTACAATAATTAAAGTCGCTTAGCACAAATCTTTTAAGAACACCTATAGATAATGCGAAAATGGATGAAATCTCAAGAGACATAAAATTTTACACATGAGATGGTACGAGAGGGATTTATAGAAGTCGATGTCAAATTTGGACGATGAGCGTGGCACCGCCCACATTTAGGTGCAAATCCATGTCTCCGGACCTACTCGACCAATTTCAACCAAATTCGTATGACATTACAGTATGAAAATAGGCGAAATCAAACAAAAACCAAGCCTACTTCCCATATAACACAATTTTAAATTGGATCTGAGTATTTTACTTTCCAGTATACAAATCAAGAATTAATCAATGTATACGGATTAAACTTAGCACAAATAGTGCCCTCAAAGTATTTCATGCTACACCCAAAAACTGTAACTTTTCAATAACCTAGACGCCACATATGTGGACTCCAGTGCGTATGGCTGACTTTTTGCCGGTCAATCTGAGAGATATACTGGTAAATATTATTGAAATTCGAGTAAAATGTTTCTTTGATAATAATAAACACTTGTATCAAAAATGGGTTGAATTAGATCAATACTTCCCTTAGCCCCCATATACCTAATATAAAGATTTACGAACTTTCAGTTGGCTTTAAACCACATGTTTAGGACAATGTGCTCAATATTTTAATGAAATTGAAAGAGCGTATTTTCTAATAACAGTGTATCTTTGTGCCGAAAATGGATAAAATCAGGCGAAAACTTGACTTAGACCCCATATAACTGATATTCAGGATTTTAAAACGTTCGACTGACTTTACTACATATATTTGTTTATATTTATATATTCATAAAATTGCTTGAAAATAAGTTCTCAAGTATAACTGAGCAAAAAATTAATGCAATCAGCCCTTCTATTTCTCTGCCACCAATATATCCTATATAATGATTTCCGACTTTCCACCTGGTTGGTCAATATATGTGATATTTTAATGAAATTAAGGGGATACGTTTTCTGAAGAGTTAAAAAATTATATTAATAGTTTGTCGTTTAATATAAATAAATTAATCTTGGTCTAAACCTCATATCCCTAATATAATGAATTGACGCTTTGGTTGAAGTTTTTCATATCAACTCAATATATTATGATTTTAGCATAATTTTCGCTGACGGGAAATAAAATATAGTAATAAATCTAAGTGAGTCTATGACCTTCAAAATATGTTAATATGATACTAAATTTCGATTGTAATACCTTCACGATTTCGTCGATCAATGAAGTTGAACCTTTTCGGTACTATTTTTAATATTGCCAACACCTAAAAGTGTTTAGCCGGCTTTGATCCTTGCAAGTTGCAAGAGGAAAAAATGTTCGGTTAAGCCCGAACCTAGGCCTTCCTTACTTGTTACTAATAAAGTTTACCCTCTTTCAAGCTTATGCAGAGTAAGACCGATTGTTTCAAAAGTAAGCCAATCAACATTTTCTGATTCAAAAAGAACTTTTTACGAATATTTGAACCATAACCTAACAATGATTGTGAATGAAATTCGATGCGACCGCCATGGAATGCAATGGAAGGACAAAGTCTAATTACTATGTCGAGATAAAAACGAATTAATTTGGTTAGAAAACAAACACGACCTGTAAATAATTGATTTTCATACAAATACATTTCTCTGAGTTCAAAGAGTGATAATACAGTGCAGAAGTGCCATTGATTAAGTAATACATTCGGGTCATTGAGGCATATATATCAACTTCTAATCGCTTAACATCCAGCTTTTTATTGATTCCGATTGAAATGGTTTTCCCATTTTATTCCAGCATATCATTTGGTTGAAGAGATCATTACATTTTTAAATGTTTGTCAATTAACTTAATACTTGAAAACTTTTTAACAATACACTTCTATTTACTTATTTATTTATTTATTCCAGGATACAAAGTACATATTACATACAAAGTATGTACCTATAGAGGTGTTACAAAACACCTGTACATAAGCCTGGTAATATTAGTTTATTATAATTAA